AAACCAAAAAAAAAAAAAATGATTGATTTTACCTAGGGAAGCAAAGGAAGATATGGGAGAAGCAGAAGTAGAAGCAGAAAGATGTTGATAAGAGTTTCAGAAATCATCAGACATGGACAAAGCCATGACAAACTCCCCTGCAAATTGCCATCACCTTCGGAGTCAAATAAAAAGTGGTACTTGCTGTTAGGTTGATGAGATTTTATGTATTTTGTTTACAAATAACAAGGAAAACGAAATGCCAAATAGAAAAAAGAAGGGAAATGACCTCATCAAGTAGAGAGAAAGGTAAAGGAAATAAAAGAAACGCCAAAAGAGAAAAAGAGGGTATGCCTTATGCAGCCCTGCCACCTGCCCCCTTACTCGTCTCTCTAACCTGCACGTAATGGGTTGCGGTTATTTGTCACCCTGTAAATCTGTGGATCACTTCACCCACTGTCTTTCCTGTGGTCTCATCAAAATTAATAAATAAATACACATAAAAAAAAAAAAAACATAATTAGCGCTCCAGTCTTTTCAATTTCGTTGCTTTGTTTAAAAGATAATAGTTTTGGACAAGAATAGTACTATGAAATCACGTTAAAAAAAAAAAAAAAAAACTTTGATTGGGAAAACTGTTTTGATCCTATTAATGAAGAAGTGACCTTACCAGAAACACCAGTATGCACTTTGCAGATCGGAATCTTCTGGGTTTTTTTAACTCAATTTAACAACATTTAAAACAAAAGAAAAAGATAGATCCAAGGTTTCAAAATATATTAATAAGTACTTTCTGAATATGCTGTGTTGTCTGCAAGTATTCATTTCGAAAAAAGACAAACACTAGAAAATCAAATCAGTGAGGTTATAGAGTTTGAATGTTATATATACTTCAAGCTTCTTGGAGATGGGCTTTTAGAAAACAAAATGGAGGGTTTTAGTTGTTTATTTGAATTTTTTTTTTTTCAGTGTTCTGCCAATGGTTTTAAGAGTTCCCCTTGATTGGAAATTTTTACTGCTATAATATAGGATGATTTCTTCCAAATTTTACCCATTCAAATTCAAATGAAATGGGGAACAAATATGACTCACATGGAAAAATCACGATTTGGAATGAAAAAAAAAAAAAACTTTCCTATAGAATTCGAGACCCAATTACAGAAACTAAAACTAAATTACGCATTTATTATTGATTATTATTGTAATTCTGAAAATTGATTTGGGATAATTAATCACAGTGAGTCTAAGGAGTTATTACGATGATTATATTATTAGTTGTTTGATTCAGTTTATAAGCGAATTTATTTATTGCCAAAAAAAAAATTAAGTATTTGACTCTCAAATTTTTAAAATTGTTAACTTATGCGAAAAAGTAGATTTGAAATTTACATAAATGTATAAATTAATAATTTTTCAAGAAGTTTTAATTGTATTAACAAGTATTTAATTGAATTTTTTATATTTTATTTTACTCTTACGTAATTTATAATATTATAAGAAATATTATTATTTTATAATATTATAAAAAATATATATTATTTTTATATTATCTAAATTTTCTATTAATTAATTTATTTTTATTATAGTTAACAAAATTATTGTTTTATTTTATTTTTTTCATATAAAAACTTGTAAAAGTAAATTAAATTAAAATTTTTATTTTTATTATAAAAATATATTAAAAAATCAAATAATTTTAAAAAATTATACAACATTTTTGTGTTAAATTATCAAACAATAATTTAATGTCTTTTTGCTATACTTTTAAAATAAATCTACTCGACCATCTTTAAAAAAATAAAGAGAAAAAAAAAAAAAAACTAGAGTCCGATCAATTAGATCTGATTGAAAAAATAGACAAAGGTTGAAAGATGTGAACGATGATTGCATCCGAACCTCCAAAGTCCGAATACAGGAAGTGTTGAGAAAAAGGCTCAAATAGGAAATGAATAATATTAGGTTTTACCAACGATGATTACATCCACTAATGTACTTCCCTTGGTGGGTCCTCCTTGCTTATCAGGATATCAATCAAATACAATTCCATTATAATTTGACTTAGTAATTCTCGCATTTTTATGTTATAAAATATTTAATTTTTTTATATTTATATCATATTTTATATAAAAATTATAATTTATAATTTATATTAATATAAAAATATATAATATTTTTTATTATTTTAAAATATATAATAATTATTAAAATTTTAAACTTTATTATTTTTTTATCTTTTTTAAATCATATTTATATTAATCATTATATTATATTTTAAATTATTAAATTTAATTACAATTCAATTTAATACAACATTGACCAAAAAAATTCAATTTAGTTCAACGATTTAATCATGGCAGATTAATTCTCTCTATTTCTTAATCATGGTGTTTTCTTTTTATTTTAATCTTGTAATCTGATATAACATATTATAATATGGGGAAATTTTCTCAAACTTTTCATTTTTCAATACTCAAAAGCTTCTTTATTTGTAAATTGTATTTATAGTAAATTTAAAATTTAATTTAATTAATTTATATAATTATTTTTAAAAAATAATATCTAATAATTTTATATTTTTATATTTGATCATTTTTTTTAATTATTCTCAAAAACTACGATTAAATATGATAATTTAAAATACGAAACTATGATATGACATAAATATATTATGAAAAAAAATAAAAATGATATAATTTAAAATTTTAATAACAATTATATTTAGATGTAATAAAATAAAATATATATTTTATTTTTTGTATTGACATAAATTATAACATATAATTTTTATATAAAATATGATATAAAAATATAAATTTTAGTATTTTTTATGATATAAATATATAAATCATCAAAATTTTCTACGAAATCATTATATATATATAATGTAATTGTAATGTTGATTAATATTTTCTTTTTATTTTCTTGTAGAAATTATTGCAAATATGCTGAGCATCTTTTCATTTACCATATCAAAAATTAAATCTAATTCAAATTCAAGCTTAAGAGAATGGTCCAGTTGTTGGCAGGTCTATTGGCTTTGGGATCACAGGGTTTATAATTATATTTAAATTTAATAATTTAAAATATAATACAATAATCTAATAAAAATATTATTTTAAAATTTTAATAATAATTATATTTAAATTTAATAAAATTAAAATATATATTTTATATTTTTATATAATTTAAATTATAACACATAATTTTTTATATAAAATATAAAACAAAATATATAAATTTTAATATTTTATAGTACACAATGTACCAATAACAGGATATGAACTTATAATAACAAGAAAGGAAAAAAAATTTTGGGGAATTGGGCCTCACGCTCCAACATAGAAGAGTAAAGTATATGGAGGATTAAAATTTCAATCCGGAAACCCTTCAAAAGGCTTTAAGGCTACCAAAGAGTTTGCCTCGACTTGTTATTTTAGTGTCAAAAATTTTTAAAACAATATTTTATTAACAAAAAATAATAAAACTTAATAACTTGCTATTAGAGTTTTCGGTCTCAACTTAAAAACATGAAAAAAAGAAGACTCTTTAGATATTAAGTAAAGATGATAATGATTTAGATTAAATTAAATTGATTTAATTTTTTAAAATATTATATAATATTATAAATTTATAAAATTTGATTCGAATTCGAATCAAATTTTTATATAATTCGAATCAAATTAAATTTTATCAATTTAATTTGATTTAATTTATCGATTTTTAAATATAAGTTTTTTATTTTTATATTATTTTAATATAAAATTTTAATATATTTAAATAAATATTAATATAAATTATTATTTAATTTTATAAAAATTTAAAAAATATATAATTCAATTCGATTTTAAATTTTTTAAAATTTTCATCTCTCAATTTAAAATTCAATCAAATTAAATATATATTTGATATTTAAACTTAATCGAAATTAAATAAAAAAAATTATTTATCAATTACTATAATTTTAAAATCGATTTTCGATTTTTAAAATTTTTTGTCGTCCTTATGCTCGAGTCTCCAAAACCGTTTGTGCGCCGACTGCCCCTAACATGGGGATTCCCCATAGAAATACACCCAAAACTCAAAACTTGGTGAGCATGTGGCCACACTGTTATTCTAGGAAGACGCTAACATGCTTCCAAAAAAGAATCCAATTGTCTAATTAGTGGTTATCTGTCTGGGGCATCCAATGTCTATCTGGGCCATGGAAGTGGTTACGATGGCATCTCTTTATTACCCATGCCTTCTGGAGATTTTGATTATCCACAAAATCAACTAAATTGGACGACTTTTCTTTCTTTTCCTTTTTTCCCCTATTATGTTTGCTCCGGGTGGACAGTTTTATTTTTTTTTTCCTTCTTTTAAAAGATTTTTTCTTTTAACTTTGAAATTCAAGATTTTATATTCAAAATCAACTCGAATCTTGAAAATAAGCGAATAACATTTATGATTGCACGAGAGAAAAAGGTATTTAGTCGACAAATGAACCTATTTTTGATGAATTACATAGAGGAATGCATAGTTATATTGTCCTTTCATGCTTAATAATTAAAATTTGACATTTCCCAATTTGTCATGGTATGAAGCACAACACAACTCCACAAAATGATTTTGGACTAAAAAACATTCTTAATAAGGAAAATGCAAGTAAGATTGATAATTTAATATGAATCTGTCCGATTTTTATTTGATGCGATTTTATAAGATCATTTTTTTAAAAAATCGGGTGTTAGGTTGTGTCAAATTTTTTTTTAAGTTAAAATTGAATTTTAGACAAATTTACCTTGATTTTACTTAATATATATTTAAATTTTATTTATTTATTTAATTTTATATTTTTATGTATTATATTTATTTAATTTTATTAATTATAATTTTATGTACATACAAGTCAGGTTAAATATAAAAATAATATTTTAATATTAAATTAAATTTAAATATTTATTATATAAAATCAGATTAAATTCGAAAAAAAATCTGTCTTGATTTGATTGGATGTGTTGCTATCTCTAAACGTAGATAAAATATTAGTTGGGCTAGATTCTGAAGGTCAAGCCGAGAACTACAACAAAAAAGTAACCAATGCCCACTGATAACATGGGTTACACCTAGGTTTAAACCCAGCCAGGCCAACACTGCTCAGCTGATGCTATGTTTAGGGTAACTTGGTAAATTCAGTACAACAGATTCCTTAGGGCTTCCCGGGCTTTCCTCATTAATTCCAAGATTCACTTTTTGGTAAACCAGAAAGCGTCTCAACTCCCGAACTTAGTTTTTGGACCTTGTATTTTGGAATCGTAAACGTGGAAGTATTCCAAGCAAGAAAAGCGGAAAGGAAAACGGAAGTTTTTAGTCATGGCAGCCTAATATTCTTTCAAACCTCAGTAACGTACAAAAAACGCACTCCCTCAATCCCTGTGTGTCAGGGCATTTTTGCTTGTAAAATGCTGCGAGAAATGTGGCTTTTTGTTACTGTTTCTCCTGAATAGAACAGTTTGGCAGTGAAAGTTAGTTGTAAAAGAGGAAACAAGATGAAAAGCGTTGAAAGGAGGTTTTGTGAGGAGTTTTCACCTGGGTATTATGGGATTTGTACTGTTGGAGGAATGCTCAGTGCTGGGACTACTCATCTTGCTGTTACACCTCTCGATGTCTTGAAAGTAAACATGCAGGTGGGATCACTTTGTTTCTTTTTGTTTTTGTTTTTTTAAAACTGTTACATATGATGATCTGATTGCTTTTTTTAAGGATGTCTTTGAGGCTTTGAGTAATGCTGACTTGCTTTTTACTTATGCTTTTATTTCAGTTTGTATCACCCACTGTCCATATTCTTCTTGTGGCTGGTACTTGGTCTTGCTATATTATTGATTGGTTAGTGTTTACTTAAAAATACTTAGAAAATAGGGCTAAAATGCTAACTTTTCCCTTTTGGCTATCCATTTCTTATATATTGTGTAAGTTAGCAACTAGTGAGAAGACAATTAGACTGCCAAATTGTTTTATTATTTAGAAAACCGCGCTAAGTGCAATTAGGAAGATGAAAATTCTTCCCGAGTTTGAGGGAGAAGGAGAAGGATGTCGAGAACAGCAACTTTTAAGGAGGGGAAGTTTTGGAATGTCCATCAAGGAAAGAATTCTGCAGCTAGTTTGCTTGCTATGGTAGAATCAGTTCATATAGCAGGAGAGAAATAAAATTATTATATGTTCTTTTAACACATCCTTGGATGTTTTGCCTTTATGGTAGTTTGATTGGCAATATGGCATAAAAAATAGAAACATCACCTGTGTTGTAACTGTTCCAAATAGTTCATTGTACTTCTTGATGTCCTGAGTTGCCCTCCTTCCTTTATTCTTTTAAGGTTGCTTATCTAATTATTTGATTTTTTTTTTTAGGTGAATCCAATCAAGTATAGCAGCATTTCATCAGGATTCTCTGCCCTTTGGAGAGAGCAGGGGCCATCTTCTCTTTGGAGAGGTTGGTCTGGCAAGTTCTTTGGATATGGTGTTCAAGGAGGCTGCAAATTTGGTCTTTATGAATACTTTAAGGGGCTTTACTCCAATGTTTTGGTAGATCAAAACAGGACTTTCGTATTGTTTCTCAGCAGTGCATCTGCTCAAGTATTTGCTGATGTGGCTCTCTGTCCTTTTGAAGCTGTTAAAGTTCGTGTTCAGACACAGCCCACTTTTGCGAAGGGTTTAGCTGATGGATTTCCAAAACTTTATAAAACTGAAGGGCTTACTGGGTAAGTTATACTAATGCCTGAGCCTTTTCTGCTTTTCCTTCATCAGTAATGTTTATCCATTTCAATTTGATTGCAGCTTCTACAAGGGACTTTGTCCACTTTGGGGCCGCAATCTTCCATGTAATGTTAATACTTCACTGCGCTTTTAGAATTTGCAGTTGATTGTTCCTGGTTAATGAATTTAAGATGTGTTTACTGCTGGTTGTTGCACTGGCAGACGTTCTAGTCTATCTTGATAATTCCTCTATTAGTTTGTAAGCATATGTCAACAAATCCTTAGTTGCACATGTTATGCTAATCACTTCTGGGTTCTGTATTCTCTCACTATTAGATTAGTAATAACTTACTAATGCATTCCTTGACAAGACTTTCTATCTATTTGCGGTTGCTATCATGAGATAGTTTGACTAAAAAGTGAGGATAATAATAGTGACATTGCATGTTTGATAGTCACCTGTTTTATGGCCATAATCGTCAGTCACCTATGTCTCGTTTCTAGATCATGCAGTTAGTTTTTTTGTGACATTTATGTCTCGCATTTGTGCATTATTATGTTAATGTCTTCTGGAAAACTAATTTTTAGGGTAAAAAGTTTACATTTTATCTCAAACAGAAAGAGGGTCACAGAAAGATGGTTACATTTTAAAAATTTACATTATTATGTTAATGTCTTCTGGAATACTCATATTGGGGCAGTGTAAAAAAAGCTCGTTGAATGACAAATTTATACTCTTTCAGTTTCTCTTTTTCTTGTGCTTGTTTTCTACCCGGCTGGATCATGAATTCTGGGTTTGAGCACATGGGACTTGTAATAATCTTGCTTTGATATAGGAGTTTAAGCACTTGGACTTTGACACATTACGTTTCAGAATGAAGTTTAAAGCCAAGCTAGAATACTTAGATTTGTAGGCAAAAGGATATGTGCTAACATTCTTGTCAACAAGCAAGTAGCTACAAGCACATCTGAGATTTGTAGTCTTGACAGATTACTTGCTTACCTAATTATGTCTGTTTTTGGCACGTATTGCGATCGTCAAGTCATAGTGCATTTTATTTCTAACCTGGTTTCTTAATATGATATTCTGATTGGCAGTCTCAATGATAATGTTCTCAACGTTTGAGCATTCAGTGGACTTTATCTATAGAAGTATCATTAAACAGAGAAAAGAAGATTGCTCCAGAGCTCAACAACTTGGTGTCACATGCTTAGCGGGATATGCAGCTGGAGCAGTTGGTACTTTAGTCTCTAACCCAGCTGATGTCATTGTTTCTTCTCTTTACAACAAAAAGGCTGAAAATGTGTTGCAGGTAGCACCTATTAGTAATGTTTTTCATTGGCTTATTTAAGTACAACAAGTCAAAATGATTAATTGTGTCATTCGATATTGTAACTTTCAGGCTGTTAAAAAGATTGGGCTTTTAAATCTTTTTACTAGAAGTCTTCCTGTTCGAATCACACTCGTTGGACCTGTTGTTACTCTGCAATGGTTTTTCTATGACACCATCAAAGTGCTATGTGGATTGTAAGTGTTTTCACAAGCTCGAAATTCAGATGCCATTAGAAGAAAGACTAGTATTAGGGCTGCATTCACTTTTAGACATAATAAATTTTGGTTTTCTGCTTCATGAATTTATAAGTTCTTATCAGAGTATTGAAGCCTGGACTTTTTTTGTTTTTCTTTTCTTTTAAATAGTTTGCAACAGGGATGTAATGTAGTTATAGATATCACCTGTGCAGTGATCACTTGCCTTTATGGTTATCGTCATTCTTCTAACAATGTGACCATCTTAGGCCTACTAGTGGAGGACTTCATCGGCAATTACGAGAAGCCAATTTATCATCTTAAGCTCGTTGAGCTTTGGAGGAGGATCTACAGTTCCATCGGGTCTGCAAACATTAAAAGGAAACAATCCCTGCAATATCGGCATCATTCTTATTATAGACATGTAACAAGGTTATTTACACATATCTTAATGTGTAGCAACTATTATGAAAGGTTCAACTTTGTCTTAAAATCGTTCTTTCCATTGTCTAAACATAATAATTGATGGCCAATGCTATCATTATACGAAAATACGGGAAAGGAAGGTGGGAACTCACAACTCACAGGTCTTTTCCCTTGAATAACGAAGTCGTCAGCACACTTGGTAAGAGTAGATGATAAACAAAACAACCCAAAACCCACAAACTCGATGCTTTATGTTTAAAAAAAAAAAAAAGGTCGAAGCGAAAGAAAATTTTTTGAGTATATTATTAAATGAGATGGTAGAATCCAAAGTACACGTCAGGGAACAGTTCGAGTTTGCCGTAATGGTTACAGAAACAGTAGCGGCTGGCTGCAGCACATGTTGATATGGTTTTGGAAATTTCTGCTTTCCATCCACGTCCACTTTCTTCATCTGACAAAAGCAATCCCCGAGAACAAAAAAAAAAAAAATACCGTAGCCATGTCCTATGCAAAATCCAGCCAGATGCAGTGGATATGTTACTATCATAGTTGCTAACTAGTCTTTTTGAACGTTTCACACCAGCCACCGGGGGTAGTTGGTAATGGTGCCTTACTCCTTAAGTCCCCGAAAAATTTTAAAACCCTTTTTACTATGTATACTAGAAAAATATCCTGTGATACTTTCGGTCAAATTTTTTGGTTTTGTCAATTTTATTTAATATATATATATATTTTAAATTTATGTACTAAAAAATAAAAAGTAAAAAAAAAAAAAGAATGACTGTTAATCGGCTTTTTTTTTTTTCATAAAATTTATTTAATAAAAATAAATATAAAAAACAAAAAAATAAAAAATGAACAAGAGGAAATGAAAAAAAATAAAAAAAGAAAAAAAATTTAAAAAAAAGTGCTCACATATGGTGCCACATTGGCATTTCATATTGAATTTAAAATATTAATTTTTTAAATAAAAACAAAAATAATTTTACTAATAAAAATAATATATATAAATAAATAAATAATAAAAAATATATTTTTTATATATACATATATTTATATATATCGAAATAGATCAAATCAAGTACCCTAAATAAACTTTCAACCCAAAGTCATTTCATCTTAAAAAATTTCATCCTCTTAAGTTAACTTGATTTTCAAAAATAATTTTTTATTAGAATGAGATGGATCAAAAATAATTTTTTATTAGAATCAGATGGATCCGAAACTTGTTGAATATAAAAATGTTTTGGTATCTCTATCAATTAATATCTTTTATTGAGAATTTTATTTAATTAAAAAATACAAAAAAGCTAAAAGGGTAAAAAAATAAATGGGTGCCATATTGACACCTTAGTTAGATTTTTTCACAAAATTACTTTAATAAAAAAGATAAAAAAAAAAAAACCTCATTAGAATATTACGTGAACATCTCAATTGAGTGAAGACTTGTTAGATACGAATTATTTTGTTATTTTTATTCATTTATTTTTTTTTCAAAATTTATTTAATTAAAAATTAAAAAAAAACAAATTTGAGTGTAATGTGGATACCTACATAATTTATTTTTCACAAAATTTATCTAAATTTTAAAAAATAAAAAACAAAAAGTTAGAAAAATTAAAAAAAATTAACACATTAGACCTTGAATAAGGGTAAAAAAAGAGTCAAATTTAATAACGAATAAATGGATTATGTTTTAATAATATATAAATATAATATTTTTATTAAATTAAGATATTAAATAATATCTTTATTAATATAATACATATATAAATATAATATTAAAATATAATTTAATATATAGTCATGGTAAAACAAAAAGTTATAAATTTACCTTAGATTCAGATATTAATTTTTAAAAAAAATCTCAATTCGATCTCAAATAAAAAAATATGCTTATTAAATTTGAAACAAATTAAAACCTATTGAATATGGATCATTTTGTTATCCATTCCTTCGTTGATATTTTTCTTGAAAATTTATTTACTTATTTGTTTTATTGTAAATTATATGATTATAAAAATAAAAACAAAAAAAAAATGGAAAGGCAAAAAATCGAAATTGCGTGTCATTTGTACACATTTGTTGACCTTTTTTTCAATAAAATTATCTTATCATAAAAATAAAGAAAGGAGAAAATTAAAAAGAAAATAAGAAAAAACAAACAAAATTAAAAGAGAAGGAATTGGTAATGATAAGCTTTTTCTAATATCCATTTCTTTAAAAATTATCAATTTTAAATAAAAAAGAAAATAAATTTTTTAATCAATAATATCAAATGAGTTCTAAATAAAAAAGTTAAAATATTAAAAAAATTATAAGTATTTAAAAAGAAAAAAAAAAGAAAATTAAAATGGAAAGAATGATAAAAATAAGAAAAAGAAAAAATTTGAAGAAAATAACTTGAAGCATGTTATATGTTTAGTATCAAGTTGATGAGACAAAAAATATTTAAAATCTTAAAAATTATTTATTAAATATATAAAATAAAAAATAAAAAAATACTAATATTCCTTTAATATTAAACGGATCTCATAAAAAATAAATTTAAAATTTTTAAAAACAAAAAACAAAAAAAAATAAAACTTGATATAAAGTGGAATCCACTATAAAAAAATAAAATTTTTAAAAATATTTATTTAATATAAAAAGATTTTGACCAAAAAAAAATTGATGTGCCACGTGACGTAAATTTGGGTCATGTACTACTATTCACCCTACATGAACAAAATTTATGGTGTGGATACATAAATTTAAATTGACATTTGAACTAAAAATGTTATTTTTTATTTTATAATTTAAGATATGTTCAAATCACTTTGATATTTGTTTTTTTTTATTATATCTAACAATTATTACATGTAATTTGTTAAAATCAAAAATTTTGTTGCAAGTTTTAAATTATTAAACTTAACAAAAACTAAATTAACTTTTCAATATTTTTAGTAAAACTTCAAATTTTCAATCAAGTGCCAATTTTTTCTTTTTTTTTTTTTTTATGCAAGGGAAGTTGAAACTTAAGGGATTTAAGGGAAGGAATTTGCAATTGTCAAGGATTAAACCCCAACCTTGCACGAATCATATCCTTAGAAAAATTGGTGAATCATTTGAAATAAGTCTTATGTGTATATATGTCTATGTTTGTATTTGTGGACATCAATTTGTCCAAAAAAAAAATATAAAAAAATATAAAATATGAAATATGAAATATAAAAAAAATATACAAAATATAATACAAAATATAAAAAAAATACAAAAAAAAAACGCAGAACAGAACAAAAAAATCGAGGATGGCAGTGGTGCCTTCCCATCACCACTACCACCGGCCCTACACCCCACCCTTCTGACCACTATGCCCTACCCTCCACCCCTCTGACCACCATGCCCTACCACCCATCCTCTACCACTACCAGATGTTGCCAAAAAAAAAAAATAAAAGAGGCATGAGGCTCGTGCTTGCACCCTCATGCCTAGCCCTGTGTCGTTCTCTTAGGCACAGGGCAATGTCAGAACTCTATAAATAGAGCTCATAGTCGAACAAAAAAGAGAGAGAGAAGAGATGCTGCAAAAAAAATTGAAATAAAACATTGTAAAAAAATAAAAAAAATCAAACAATCTTCCTCGTAGGGAGAAACCCAGTGCCGAGCTTCTTGCACGAAGAACAAAAACAAAAGAGGTCAGTTTAAAAAAAAAGTCAGAATACAAATAAAAAATAGTCTCACCGAAACTTTGAAAGTAAATCTAGGGAATTTGGGACTCTTTTTGATGAAAAGGACCTCGGATCTAAACTCAGGAGGCCGAGGGGAGCATTTTGATATTTTCTAAGAATTTTTCGACCACCGGCGACGACAGTCGGTGACCGATGAACGACGGTGATGACGACGATGACAGCGACTGGCCGGCACTGCGTTCGGCTGAAGAAGAAGGAAAAAAGTTTTTTTTTTTTAGAACGAAGGAAATGAATGAAAAAAAAATTAAAACTTTTATATAAGTTGTCAATAGCCAAAATGACGTCGTTTCAATAAACGCCCAAAATGACGTCGTTTCAAGAACCTAGGATCCACGCGTCAACCCTTAACTCGATCTCAAGATCCGTGCACCCGACCCGCGACCCACTTCTTTCATCATCCTCTGACCGGTCTGACTGAACTGAAATCGAACCGCCCAGACCGAACCGAACCGGTACTGAATAGCTGAGCCACCCAGACTGTGCCTAGACCGAGCCGAACCCTCGAGCCGAACCGTCGAACCGAACCACTTGTTGACTAGATCGTTGACCGGACTGGTTCAGGTAAAAAAATTTTTTTTTTACTTTTTCTTATTTTTTATATATTATTTTATTAATATTTATGCATATTAAAAATATTTATATTTGTTAGATTAAATGATGAAATATGTGGTTAAATTTTTTTTTATAATTTTGTTAATTTTTAAAATAAACTTTAAAAATAAAAGAATATAAAAATAAATTTAATAATAATACTAAACTAATAAAAAATGTAGGAAAAGGAAATTTTTATTCGACGATGAGATTCAAAAATATTTCGAGTAGTGATGCCTATGAAATCTTCAAGTGAGAAGATTTTTTAAAAATAATACTAGTGTATTGGAGTATTTATAAAAAATTTTTAATATAGTAAAAATTTTCTTTTTTTTTTAAGTAATAAATAAAAATTGATTAATATATTAAAAATATAGGTAATAAAAATGAGAAGAAAAGAAATTTTATCCGATGATGGGATTCTAAAAGTATTTCGAGTAAAGATGCTTTAAAAAATCCTTAGGTGAGAAGATTTTTTGTAAAATATTACTAGTGTATTGAAATATTTATAAAAAATCTTCAATATAATTAAATTCTTTTTTCTTCAAAATTTCAATTAAAAATAAATATTAATAAAATAATTAATAAAATTTTTAACATAGGAGAATAAAATATGTGCATATACATGGTAATATTTTGCATTCATGCATGACATTTTTTTACGAAAAGTAAATTTGAGCCTCCGAAGATGAGATTCTAAGGTATTCCGAGAAGCGATGCCTAAGAAATCTCTAGGTGAAAAAAAGTTCTTCTAATGTTACCAACGTACTAGAACATTTTAAGAATTATTTCAATAGAAAGGTTTTAATTTATTTTTT